TTGGTAATTAAATAGCCTGAAAAAAATGAAATATAAATATTACATGAAAAACCTCAACTTAAGCACATTTTAGTAGTTCATTTTTTAGTAAAATAAATATAAACAGCACAACAAAAATTTCAACTAAAATTAAAACTGAAATATAAAAACAAAAGTTAATTCTAAATAATAGTTACAATTTAATAACTACTATAATAGTATATAAATAATACTAAACTGTAATACTAAATAAATAATACTAGACAAAGACAACCAAAACTTCAATTTAAAGTCCCAATGAATTCAAAATTGACCATACTTACTTTGTTTGCCTAAATTGATCGTTTTGTGGTGAACAATTCATGCAAGTCAATCCACACAAAAAAATTTTTTGGCTTCGTAATCTTTAATCAAAATCTGAAATTTCCCCTCCCCTCTGCGTTGGAGGACCTTCCCTGATGACGTAGGTTTCACGGTTTGGGTGTCTTCTTAACATCCGTAATCACGCCCCTCCAACTGACAGTAGACAGGCTGAATGAAAACACCTACTTTTCTAGATCCAATCAGGTGCTAGTTGGGAAAAAAGCCACGCCCACCATTTTGCCTCATTTAGTATTCCGTTTCTCTCGGAAATACGTCATAACACTGGAGAAAAGTCGTTTGCAACTTCCGGTTCACGGGGACTTTAAGCGTTTGTCCCCCCAGTTACTTGCCAAGGCTTTCGTTTTTTTTTTAAGTATTAAATTTTCATGTACTAAATTGACTAAAAGTACAAATAAATTAAATGTAAAAAGATGGATCTCTGTACGGTTTATAGCGGCTTCCATTGGCTGTCTGTGGATTGTTTTGTGATGTTTCATGCCATACGTGTTGTTTTTTTAATATGCTTTAACAAGATTTTCAACTTTTAAAGGGGTCATCATTACATGGACTTTTTATTTATTTTAATATGTTCTTTGAGGTTCACTTATAATGTTAATAAAGTTTTGCACACACACACACACACACACACACACACACACACACACACACACAAAACAAATATATGTGCATAAAAACGATTAATTTCTACATTCTGAAATGAGTTTTTAAGACGCGGCTCCTTTAAGGCTTGTCAGTTAATCGGCCACTGTTATTGACTAACATATCAAAACTCATTCGCTATTGCACTCAAGTGTTTTGAAAACATTATCCATATAAAATCATTCATATAAAACCATAATTTACAGACAAAGCATTATAAAATCATTTACTTACGGTTTATGATTCAGCTGCTATCAGATTCAACACAGTCGCTACTTCATCTGTCAAGAAAAGTATCTTTGCGAACTCTCTCGATTATAAAACAAAATGCTCTGAACAAATATAATCCTCTGGCGATTAAAAATAAAGCACCCACTTGTTTCTGACGTTGGGATCCCTATGAATCTCTACATTACAGAGACACTAATAATGAGAGGTTTATATGGACGCGTCAAAGCGATCGTTTTTCTGTCGTCAACCGAACTCAGTGGGCGGGGCCTATGGTGCAATGCTGTATTACTATTGGTCAATATCTTGATGGGGACAGTCATATGCAAATGTATGATGTCACAGATGCTGCTATATATAAAAAGCTTGATTTTGGAGCTTGGTAAAATAAATGCGTTGTTTTTAATGAGGATGATGTTTTAAGCTCTAAAACTTGCAGGATGTTTTAATGGTACAAAGACCTTTTATATTTCAAAAGATCAAGGCAAATTTGATTTCTCATGTCATGACCCCTTGAAAGTAACATATCATCCCATGTGGATTTGTTGCTGAAACTCATTTCCTTACATTATGAACAGAGTTCAGGTCAAAAAAAAACAAAAAAACACCAACAACAAGACATTTCCCATAGAATTATTTATTCAGCTGCTGAACATCTTTTCACATATGACTATACATACAAATCAACTCTAGTAAATAAACTCTGAAACAACCGTGAAAGCAGTCGCTTCTACTTTAATACTAAAATCATTTGAATTATCAGAACAGAGAGGAGAGTATTCACACATGTACAGGATTCAGTTCATATACAGAGTCAAAGTTGTTTGGATCAGTCGGAAATAAAAGTTAAAATTAAAGCCTTGTCACTTAATAATAAACCATTGTCCTGGGGATTTCACTAGTTAAATACTCATTCAAACAGGGTAATTTGGATAAAAATAGCTATTGAAATAAATATTTGATGTTGATTTATTTTCTTTAATAAAAAAAGACAGTCACCCATTCGAGCCTTGATATTATTACCCATAATGCAATGCACTGAACCACAGCTGCACGCTATAAGTGGGGCTTTTGTGCTCCAGTGGTTTAGACTAGTATCACTTCAAATAATTCATGAAACATGAAATAAACGACAATCTGAACAGCCAAAGAGCTTCCAGAATACTTAAAAAGACGCGTTAAAAAGCAGTCGCCCTATAGAACTAGAGCGCTCGATACCCGCTGTCAGTCAGACGCGCGCACCTCTAATAAATACTGCCCTCTCACAAATATTAGTCCCAAGATTAACTCACATTATCGCTTCAGGGATTCGAGGCAAGGGCCACGTCTGTTGCGCATCAGAAATGACACAATTTCAGAGAAATTATTCAGTAATGTGAATCTGTGCTAGAGAACCAGAGCGTGAAATTAAACACACCAGAGACAAGAGCACAAGAACTCCAGGCTCTGATTCCAAAACAGGAACTTTTAGTCAATTTCATCATTTTAGAAATGTCAAGGCCATATTTCACCACAAAATCAAGATACACATTAAAACATTTTTTATATATATATATATATATATATATATATATATATATATATATATATATATATATATATGTGTGTGTGTGTGAGAGAAATAAAACATCTATTAATACAAACACACAATTACATACATACACATATACACACACATACACGGTGCAAAAGTCTTAGGCACGTTAGTATTCTCACCCCCAAAAGATGGTTAACCCAGTTATTTATATCTTTTGTTGTTTCCGTATTAATAGATGTTTTAATTTACACACAAACATGCATATATATATATATATATGTCATACCTGTCAACACTCCCGTTTTTCCCGGGTTTCTCCCGTTTTTTAGCCCTATCTCCCGGACCCCTCCCGGTTTGTTATTTCTCCCGGGAAACTCCCGTAATTTGCATGGCCCAAACTCCTTTATGAATAATCGGACCAATATGTTTGTCTAATGTTGACCAGTTGCCAGATTGTATTAAATGCATTATATTCACACAATCCACAGACCATTTACAATTTCAACCCGTTTGTCACCTCAACCTGGCAACCTATAACCCAGTTGCGCAGTCGCGGAAAGTTTAACCCGAAAGCGAGCCGATAGACATGATGGCAGGTGAAGGTGGTGTCCCCGCAATGAAACTGAAGTACAGTTTGTAACGCGTTGCAGAGGCCAGACAGACACACGGAGGCGATTGGCATCTCACAACTCGCACTTTATTCCCAAATCTAACTCGTGTAGCCTAACTGTCTGTCACACGTTCTACTGTCCACATCGTTACTTAGTAAACAAAATAAGATAAAAATTAGCATCAAACAGAAATTACCCGCATACATGGGGTGTTCGCATTGACAGTAAAAGGGGTGTTCGAGGCCCAAGGCACATACAATACAATACTGCCGACAGTTCAACAGGGAGCGCATAGCTCTTAAAGGGGCCACACCTTATTTCCAGTCGTTACAAGTTGTACATACCCCCCCCCCCCCCCCCCCCCCCCGGAGAAATCTCCCGGATTTTGAAAACCAAATGTTGACAGGTATGATATATGTATGTGTGTGTGAGAGATTTATATATATATATATATATAGAGAGAGAAAGAGAGATAGAGATATAGAGAGAGAGAGATAGAAAGATATATATATATATAGAGAGAGAGAGAGAGAGAGAGAGAGAGAGAGAGAGAGAGAGAGAGAGAGAGAGAGAGAGAGAGAGAGAGAGAGAGAGAGAGAGAGAGAATAGGATCATTAATATTTTGGGCATTGCACCATTATTTTAATTTTTCATGGCAATCGAACATTTACCTCACAACATTTCTGTATGTTATTTAAAATATGTATTAATTTGGTTAAATATTTATTTTCTTTTTTATTTAGATCAGCACAAGTTAAACTCATTAGAGCAAAACGTATACTTACAATAGCAAGTATACACTTTTCACTTTACCGTGACAAGAACACATGGAAAATATTTTATTCCATATTACAATGAGAATTTGTGAAAATTTGTCATGAATCTGTTTTAATTTCAAAGTGGCAATGCAAAATATCACCAAAAAAAAAAAAAAAAATTATTTTGATTTTGGGATGAAAACGGGCATTTCTTGACAGTTTGAAATGAATGTTTTGGTGAGTCGTGATGTGGACCGGCGCTCGAGCGCTTTCAGAGAGATACACTTCCACAACCCAGGTGTGTTTTTGGATGACAGTGAGGAGAAAAGGCACGAGGAGGAGACCCGTCGCAGGGTTGCAAACATAAACACACACATTCACAGAGCTCTCGTGAATCATTACGATCTTCTCCTGGAGTCGTGGAGAAACGTCTTGCTGGATTAATCACATGTAGAGTCACGCATCTACGCTTGCATAAAGCCCTCTTCGTCTCATGGGGAATAGAAAAATGAATACCAAGTGACAGGTGAGTGCAGAAACCCCCAATTTCCCATAATGCACCGGTGTGCCGGATCATCGAGTCATGGTCTGTCCTCTCAGTTAAACTAGTGTGTGTGTGTGTGTGTGTGAGCGTCTCACTCCTGTCCGAAACCTTCCGTCTCCTCGATGGCAAACATCAGCTTCTCCTTCAGCTGCTCGTAGCTTCGGTACGGAGGAAGATCCAGACGATTGAAACTGAAGCACGAGAAACGCAGGAACATTTACTGCATATGCTGCATTACAATCGCAATAATTATTGATTTTATGATTATTATAAGCAGTATACACACGTATGAATACATATTGCAAATGTGTAAAGAATCACACGAGTATATGAAGCGCTAGGAGTGTCACTTAAAAACAATGAGTTATCAATTTATTAATTAAAAAAATATAGTAAATAAAATCTGTAATTAGTTACTAAATTATTAAATGTAATTATAGTAAATAAAAAATGCTTTAAGATTTACAACTATTTTTTTAATTAATAAGTTACAATTTATTAATTAAAAAATATAGTATATAAAAAATGTAATTAAATGTAATTAGTTACTAAATTATTAAATGTAATTATAGTAAATAAAAAATGCTTTAAGATTTACAACTATTTTTGTAATTAATAAGTTACAATTTATTAATTAAAAAATATAGTAAATAAAAAATGTAATTAGTTACTAAATTATTAAATGTAATTATAGTAAATAAAAAATGCTTTAAGATTTACAACTATTTTTTTAATTAATAAGTTACAATTTATTAATTAAAAAATATAGTAAATAAAAATGTAATTAAATGTAATTAGTTACTAAATTATTAAATGTAATTATAGTAAATAAAAAAAATGCCTTAAGATTTACAACTAATTACATTTAATAATTTAGTAACTAATTACATTTAATTACATTTTTTATTTACTATATTTTTTTAATCAATAAATTAATAAATTGATAACTTATTAATTTAAAAAATATAGTGAATAAATGCTTTAGGTTTACAACTAATTACATTTAATCATTTAGATAACTATTGAATAATTAAATGAATAAAAAAGTCAATAACAACTAGTAACACTTTACAATTAAGTTGACATTAGTTAACATGATCTAACAATGAAAAAAAGTTTTATACATTATTAAAATCAAAAGTTGTATCTGTTATTATTTTAATATATTAATATAATTTAAATTATTTAATGGACCTGAGCTAACATGAACTAACAGTAAAGAGTTGAATTTTTATTAAATAACGTTAATAAAGTTAATATTAATTCATACATTAACTAAAGTTACCTAATGGACACTATGATCAATATACAGGTGAAACTCGAAAAATTAGAATATGGTGCAAAAGTTCATTTATTTCAGTAATTCAACTTAAAAGGTGAAACTAATATATTATATAGACTCATTACATGCAAAGTGAGATATTTCAAGCCTTTATTTGTTATAATTGTGATGATTATGGATTACAGCTTATGAAAACCCCAAAGTCAAAATTAGAATATTGTGAAAAGGTTTTTATAGCTGTAAGCCATAATCATCAAAATTATAACAAATTAAATATCTCACTTTGCATGTAATGAGTCTATATAATATATTAGTTTCACCTTTTAAGTTGAAATACTGAAATAAATGAACTTTTGCACCATATTCTAATTTTTCGAGTTTCACCTGTATAATTATAAAAATACATAAATATAAATAATTAAAAAAATATTATTCCAATAATAACAATATTAATAATTGTTAATATAAGTTATTAATGCTATTATATTAATATGAATTGCTGATTTATAATAATAATAATAATACTAATAATAATTAAAAATGTTTTTGCCTACTAATTAACCCTTGTGCTGCATTATATATTTTACGCCGTTGAGTGCATTAATGACCAAAAATGGTCACATATTAAACATTGCCTAAAATATTATATATTATTTTCCACTTTTACCAAGTTAAATCTTTTAACCAGCATCAGTCCTTGTCATAACTACCAAATATTTATTTTATTTCAGGATTTTAACCCTTTAAATACCAGTTTTGGTGGCAATACCAAGAGGAAAAAACACAAAAATGTAATTATTTTCCATACACTAAATGCAAAGAGGAAACTTTAGCTTTGGATTATCACAGTCTTGAATATGTCAAAGATTAGCGGCAACATTATTTCTGGTGCATTTAAAGATTTTGTGTTATGTCAGATTTAAAAAAAAAAAAATCCCACTCAGCGCGTTAATGACCAAAAATGGTTCCATATTAATCCATTTTCTAAATCATTAAGAAATGATGTATATGGACAGTTGACCATTAAACTACTACTTTAACAAAAGCCTCCTCTGACACATGATGGCACGCTGTACTCACACAGCTCACGCTTAAATACACAGAATAAACTAGTCAACACCAGATCACATCAAGAGAAATGTGAACAGCTCAGATGAATATAATGTGTGTGTGAAGTGTGTGTGTGTACCATGTGTGGCTTCGGGGAAGCCAGTTCTCCTTCCCGACCTTCTCGATGCAGAACTTCTGCGCTCCGTTACTCCCTGCGACCAAGGAAGACAATACAATGCTGAATAAAGTCCTAGTTTTTGTTATTTTTGGACCCAAATGTATTTTCGATGCTTCAACACATTCTAACTAACCCACTGATGTCACATGGACTACTTTGATGATGTCTTTATTTCCTTTCTGGACAAGGACAGTATACCGTACACACATTTACAATGGAGGGACAGAAAGCTCTCGGACTAAATCTAAAATATCTTAAACTGTGTTCTGAAGATGAACGGAGGTCTGACGGGCTTGGGGCGACATGAGGGAGAGTCATTAATGACATCATTTTAATTTTTGGGTGAACTAACCCTTTAAGCTGGACTATGACGCTATTTTTTTCTAGATCTGCTGTACAGCCGAAACAAACTTTGTTGCATTATTTTCCTGCTATCTATCACTCTGTAAAGCTGCTTTGAAACACTCTGTATTGTAAAAAGTGCTATATAATAAACCGATGTGCATGTGGAATAACTCACCCATCAGGTCTGCGAATCCTCCGACAGGCAGGCGGCAGGTACCGGTGACGAACTGCAGCAGTCTCATGCGCTTCTCATTGTCCATCTCTTTAATAAACTACAGAGAAAGAGAGAGTGTCTGAAAACTGGGTGCGATGTAAAAGATGAGTAATTTACCCCAGTTGAAGGAGAGGGCTGAGTCCGTACCTGCCAGAACCACAGGATCTGTTTACTGGACGTGGTGTAGTGTCTGTAGATGCTGTTCCTCTGCCAGTCATTCAGATCGATTTCTTGCATGCCACACAACATCACCTACGACACAAAGCAACACTGTTAAACACTGAATGCATGCAACAGAAAACTATTCGCACACTTCTAATGTCACTCCATTTTGTTATTTAATTCAATGACATTCAGATATGCTTAAAGAGGACGTTTCTTTAGTGTGTAATGTTGCTGTTTGAGCATGAAAACGATCAGTTATTCTCCATATCAGTGTCAGTGTTTCTTCCGGGAACGAACACGTCACAATATTCCTCATTATAATAATTAATACGCAGAATAAAGGGGCGGGGCCTGGTTGAGTTAGTCAGTAGTGTGTTAAACTGGCGTTTATGGAAAGGGGCGGGACATTTCCCTAAACACACTCGAAGCGCTCGGCCAATCACAACACATTGCTCCAGCCGACCAATCAGAGCACAGTGTGCTTTTCAGAAGGAGGGGCTTCATAGAGACAGGAAGTAAACAGAGCGTTACTGACAGACTGGGAAGAGAGGAGCCGCAACAATGGAGAATATGAGGAAAATAATGTGTTTTTTGAACATTCAGGCATGAAAACCTGTTCTAGTAGAGAAAAACAAAATCAAGACTTTGAAAAAGGGCGTAATAGGTCCTCTTTAAGGCCACATTTACACATAGGTGGGTATTTAGAGAAACGAATATTTCCCCGCTTCGTTTTCAATAATAATTACGTGCACACAACATCGTTTTTAAAAAAGTTGTCATTTACATCAACCCGCATAAATACGCCGTCGAGCGCCATCATAACTCTGCCAAACTGGGCGCTCACGGGACGTTAAGCATTTTCTGGCGCATAATGTGACGTTTGAGAACCTAAAACCCCATTTCTCCCAGTCGACACGGAAATCTCCACTTTAGCCAGAGATTTTAGAAATAATCGTTTTCTGTGATAAAAACAGGGTTTTCGTGTAAATGAGAGGCCAAACCGCAGGGAAATATCTGCGTCTTCCCTTCGTGTAAACGGGGCATAAGCTGTATTTTTTTTAGGCATGTGGAATTTATGTGATTTTAAATCAGCGTCTCTCACCTCCAACTCTTTGGCATCGAAATACTGCAGGTACTGCTGTGGAAGAACCTCATTAAATCCTTCAAAGAATGCTTGAGTTTGTTCCTCGACACCACGAGACAGCCGCCACTCCGCCACCAGCCTGAACAGAGCGAACAACAGGACATTTACTACCAGCAAACACTGAACAACACCTGCAGAGGTGTTAACACACAGCAGCTTCGGCCCAATCCCAATCCCGGGCGCCAATCCCCGGCGTCTACACACATCTACCTTCAAAGACAACATCTTACAAATACACAACGTGCTTTTGAAACATACTTTACGGGCAAATAATATAAATAATAATATATATATATATATATATATATATATATATATATAAAAAAATACATATATACAGACACACTTTCCTGGGCAGAATTGGAATTGGACAAACCAAAAATGGTAAAATATTTAGTAGTTTTTTAATGGTCTTAATCATTTTAATCACAAATCACTGGTCAGGAAATTAGCAAGAATTGCATAAATACTGTAGTAGATAAAGATAAAGCAATGTTAATGGCTTCAAACAGTTCTTGAGTGGTTGAAAAACGTCTTCCAGTTCATCTAAGTTCAATGTGAGAACAAATATTCTCCATATAGTTCAAATCTGGACTCTGACCTGCCAAAATATGAGCCTGATGGGACTTTTTAAACCGCAAGATAACTACATTTGATGAAAATCACCTGTCAGGTTCTCGAATCTATGCTTATGAGAGTCAGTTAGGTATCCTCTCACATTATTTTTTGACAGACATCCATGTGGATTTGAAAACAGTGGATCGTAAGGTAATATTTATTTATTACTTAGCCGGCAAGTATTGAGTGAAGTGAGTGATGCTCATGAGTGAGTTATGTCCATGTTTTTAGCGCTAATATATTCCAACCGCCATTCAGCCGATGTTTTTGACGGATGTGATAACATGCATGAGGGGTAACATGCAACTAGGTTTTATTTCTGGGTAATTATAAAACATGCTGAGACGTTCGAAATGCTTTTTGAGTCGTTCATTAAGGATATTTAATGGCACAACTAGATAATAAATTTAGCTCAAACAATTACCAAGCAATGCTTGGTAATTGTTAAAATGATATCTGGTGTCTGAATAATTTTAGGTTTGACTGTATATTCACGTCACTCAATCACGCTGTGTGTGAAAGGCCCTTAAAGCGTCTCGAGGGCTTTATGTGTGTGTGTGTGTGGGGTTTGGCTTTGATAAGCAGGAAGAGTGTATGATTGAGAGGTTCACCTGATGTACTCCTCCTTGTTCTCCTCCGTGACCTGGACGTTCCCGCCGTCCGGCTTCAGCTCGTGAGTGGAAACCTCACCCAGGATCTCCTTATCCACAGAGAAATACATCTCCAGGCCACACTCCTCGATGTTATTATCCCTGACAACACACACACACACTTTGAGAGGCGTTTGTGACTGAAATCACGTTACGCTGAGCTGCGTTTCAGACATGAGAAACATCTGTGGGGTTTATAAACACACCATACATACACAGAAAGTCATAATAACTTGTGCCACTAACAAAAAGTATCCATATACAATAATTTCTGGTGATCATTTGAATGGATGGTATTTATTTATTGTCAGTATATAGTCTAAAGCGACTATAAAAAACAACGAGTTCATTGTTTCTGCCTTAAATTATTACATTGTTTAAAATAATATTTTTTTTAGCTAACTGTGATTTTGTATATGTACATTTCTGAAATACGTAGAGTTTCCTCTGATAATAACAGATAAAACTAAATTGTAATGTGGACTTGTAATGCATTTTCTGTAAAGCTGCTTTGAAACGATGTGTATTGTGAAAAGCGCTACACAAATAAATGTGAATTTAATTGAACAAAGTAAATAATCTAAGAACTTATATTTACATGAATGTGTATAGAATATCCAAAAGCATTATAGTCTTCTTTGAAGTACCTTAGAGTACTATGTAAATATCAATCGTACTTGAATATGGTAATCAGTCGGAACTATGGTTTACAGGAGAAATAATATATTACTATTAGTAATAATATATATACTAATATATTATATAGACTCATTACATGCAAAGTGAGATATTTCAAGCCTTTATTTGTTATAATTTTGATGATTATGGATAACAGATATGAAAACCTTTTCACAATATTCTAATTTTGACTTTGGGGTTTTCATAAACTGTAAGCCATAATCATCAAAATTATAACAAATAAAGGCTTGAAATATCTCACTTTGCATGTAATGAGTCTATATAATATATTAGTTTCACCTTTTAAGTTGAATTACTGAAATAAATGAACTTTTGCACCATATTCAAATTTTTCGAGTTTCTCCTTTATATTGAAGTTCCATGGTAGCACATACAGACTTTAATGCATTATACTTATTCTAAATGAATATTCATCATGAGTACAGTAACGCAGGTGAACTGACTTGATCCAGATGAGGGAGTTGTAAAACTCGGGGTCAATGGACTCCAGGTCTTTCAGAGCCCACGGCTTGTTCAAGATGCGCTTGTAGAACGGCAACGAGAAGCCCGTGTCGATGAATTTCCCATGAAACAAGGCCTACAGGAATCAGAAAAAATAACATGTTAAACTGGAACCATAGAGATTTTCCCAAACCCAGTTAAAATTGTTAACAACGAATAATCTCACCACTAACCCTAACGCTCAAAATAATTAATTGGTTTGAGTAGGGCCAACTTAAATTATACAAATTAGTTCAATCAAATTACCTTTATTGAGTATGTAGAACTTTCTTTTATTTTTGAGTTCACAAAACTGACACATTTTAAGTAAGTTGAATTTGAGTTCTATGAACTTGTTTCTTTTAATTTAGACAAACTTAAATTTAACTCAAAATGGGCTGGGATTTCTATTTCCCAGCATGCTTTGCCATGACACGTAAAAGGGAGAGTAAATGCTAAAATTAAGTGTTATGTAATGTTTTTTTGTGCCAGATTAATGTTAAGAGGGCGATTTAGTAGTGTTTAATGTTTTGTTATGCTAATTTAGAAGAGTTTCTGGTATTTGTTTTTTTGGAGGGGTTCCCGAGTGGAGCATGAGCTTGGTTTGAGAACAGTGTATGATAAATGTTTTTAATTGCTGTACTCATTCATCAAGTGCTATGCTATGCAAATGCTATCAAAGCAATGTGTCACCAATTAGCAAGGTAGCATTTTTTTAATTAGCTGGTTAAAAATAGCGAAGTTTCCACTACTATTTAGGTTGAGATTACATGATAATTTTAAGTTTTGTATGAATTACCTTACTCGCATATTTCAAGTTAAGAGCAATTAAAATGTATGATTACAAAATAAAATCTGCAAGTTCTGCTTACTTAAACCTTGAATTTCTTAACTTAAAAATTGAGGCAACCGATTGCCTTACATTTTTTTTAGTTTTGCCAACTTATTCGGGTTTACAGTGCACTTGGAATACAATCTGACAATGACCAAATATGGCAAAACAAGATTACCATGGCGATGAAGCGTCCAATGAACTTGAAGTATTTGAGGTGGTCGGGGTTGATGTAGGAGGCGGGGTTTATCTGGAGGCAGTAGTTGTCTTTGCCAGCGTACTCGAACAGGCAGTACATGGGGTTCAACACCTCGTGAGATAACAGGAAGAACCACTCCCTGCACCAAACACACAGCACGCATTATTTTAAAGTATTACAAGAGGTGAAGCACACAAGTGATGCTTTCAAACTAAATCACACACACACACACATATATATATACACACACTGCCGTTCAAAAGTTTGGGATCGTAAGATTTTTTATGTTTTTAAAAGATGTCTCTTCTGCTCACCAAGGCAGCATTTATTTGATTAAAAATACAAAAAAAAACCTGTAATATTGTGAAATATTATTAAAATTTTAAATAACTGTTTTCAACTTGAATATATTATAAAATGTAATTTATTCCTGCGATCAAAGCTGAATTTTCAGCATCATTACTCCAGTCTTCAGTGTCACATGATCCTTCAGAAATCACTCTAATATGATGATTTGATGCTCAAGAAACATTTATGATTATTATCAATGTTGAAAATCAGTTTGTTCTTAGATGAATAGAAAGGTTATTTTTTTTAAAAGCATTTTTATTTCTGAAATATTTTGTAACATTATACACTTCCATTCAAAAGTTTTGGGGTCAGTAAGATTTTTTTGAAAGAAATGAACATGTTTATTCAGCAAGGATGCATTAAAATGATCAAATGATTTTATTTCAAATAAATGCTGTTGTTTTCAACTTTTCCTCTGCAAAAAATATCCCTTAATACCATGAACAGCAACAGAAGTTTCATTCTTACGCCATTAGATGGCGGCAAAGACTGTCTTTATGAGTGAGTTTTTATTTTATTTTAAAGACTTTTTAAAAGGACTGAAACTAGTGATTGTGAACACTGAGCGCTAGTCAAAGCATTTGTCTGTTGAGTCTTGCTTCAGTGTCAGGCACGGCAAAATAGGACAAAATATCGCAGAGGACATTCAAACGGATGGTTTATTATGAACATAGGCTGACCTGAAGGAATATGCTATATCTAAATGCAGGTAATACACTCACTCGATCTCTCACAATTCTTTACTCAACATAACACAATAAGCTTCAATGAACAATACTAATGAGAACAAACATGTTTAGGTTGCTCAGAGTGGTTGCTAAGGGTGTTGTGTAGTGATACACAGAACCGTTGGGTGATGCGGTCAACAGTGTTTTATCGTGAATAAAACACAGCTATTGACCAATCAGAAAGACTGGAACTAACCGTTATATATATATATATATATGTGCAAATGAACTAAATTACTAACTTTTTTACAACAAAATTGAACCATCACTGGACTTACTTAAAGGGTTAGTTCACCCAAAAATGAAAATGATGTCATTAATGACTCTCCCTCATGTCGTCCTAAGCCCGTCAGACCTCCGTTCATCTTCAGGACACAGTTTAAGATATTTTAGATTTAGTCCGAGAGCTTTCGGTCCCTCCATTGGAAATGTGTGTACGGTATACTGTCCTTGTCCAGAAAGGAAATAAAGACATCATCAAAGTAGTCCATGTGACATCAGTGGGTTAGTTAGAATGTGTTGAAGCATCGAAAATACATTTTGGTCCAAAAATAACAAAAACTACGGCTTTATTCAGCATTGTATTGTGTTCCGGTTCTGTTGTGGATCCGCGTTCAGTGCCGCTGCTGACGTAAGACGCTGCTGACGTGTGTCTGGTGTGTGTGTGTGTGTGTGTGTGTGTATTCTGGTTCTGTTGTGGATCCGCGTTCAGTGCCGCTGCTGACGTAAGACGCTGCTGACGTGTGTCTGGTGTGTGTGTGTGTGTGTGTGTGTGTGTATTCTGGTTCTGTTGTGGATCCGCGTTCAGTGCCGCTGCTGACGTGTGTGTGTGTGTGTGTGTGTATTCTGGTTCTGTTGTGGATCCGCGTTCAGTGCCGCTGCTGACGTAAGACGCTGCTGACGTGTGTCTGGTGTGTGTGTGTGTGTGTGTGTGTGTGTGTGTGTGTGTGTCTGGTGCGTCCGTGTATTCGGGTTCAAATTAATATTGCTGGGCAAAAAAATGCAAGTCTTCCTCTGTGTGGAAATCCTTAGACATGTTTGCGAAGATTGTTTTGTTTCCAGCGTGCGTCTCCCTCAGACTGTAAACGAAGCTCGGGCGCACCAGACACACACACACACACACACACACACACACACACACCAGACACACGTCAGCAGCGTCTTACGTCAGCGGCGGCACTGAACGCGGATCCACAACAGAACCAGAATACACACACACACACACACACCAGACACACGTCAGCAGCGTCTTACGTCAGCGGCGGCACTGAACGCGGATCCACAACAGAACCAGAATACACACACACACACACACACGTCAGCAGCGTCTTACGTCAGCGGCGGCACTGAACGCGGATCCACAACAGAACCAGAATACACACACACACACACACACACACACACACACACACACACGTCAGCAGCGTCTTACGTCAGCGGCGGCACTGAACGCGGATCCACAACAGAACCAGAATACACACACACACACACACACACACACACACACACACACACAACAGAGACACGTCAGCAGCGTCTTACGTCAGCAGCGGCACTGAACGCGGATCCACAACAGAACCGGAATACACACACACACACACACCAGACACACGTCAGCAGCGTCTTACGTCAGCAGCGGCACTGAACGCGGATCCACAACAGAACCGGAATACACACACACACACACACACCAGACACACGTCAGCAGCGTCTTACGTCAGCGGCGGCACTGAACGCGGATCCACAACAGAACCAGAATACACACACACACACACACACACACCAGACACACACCAGACACACGTCAGCAGCGGCACTGAACGCGGATCCACAACAGAACCGGAATACACACACACACACACACCAGACACACGTCAGCAGCGTCTTACATCAGCGGCGGCACTGAACGCGGATCCACAACAGAACCAGAACACAATACAATGCTGAATAAAGTCCAAGTTTTTGAAATTTTTGGACCCAAATGTATTTTCGATGCTTCAACACACTCTAACTAACCCACTGATGTCACATGGACTACTTTGATGATGTCTTTATTTCCTTTCTGGACAAGGACAGTATACCGTACATACATTTACAATGGAGGGACAGAAAGCTCTCGGACTAAATCTAAAATATCTTAAACTGTCCTGAAGATGAACGGAGGTCTGACGGGCTTGGAGCGACATGAGGGAGAGTCATTAATGACATCATTTTAATTTTTGGGTGAACTAACCCTTTAAGCTGGACTATGACGCTATTTTTTATATATATATATATATATATATAAAAATATATAAACATTGTGTGTGTACTTTCATTGTAGACATAGTCTTAAGCTAAAATATCCAAAATATGTGTGAAAAATAACTTCTGCAGGCACAGAATGGTTCGATTAGGTATTTCTTCTCTAGAAAGAGTGAAATATGAAACCTGCCTTGCCACGCCTCCGTAGTCGAGCCCCTCCTCCCCGGGGAAGATGATCCACAGCCTGCGGCGCAGATCTTGAGCGCTGAAACTCATGATCTGAAGGGAGACACCAGAACAACGTCACTAGACTCTCATGCTAACGTGCAGGTTTCTGAAGCGTTTAAAAACACTCAAACCTGTTCCTGGATCAGAGATCCGTTTAAAACTGGGATCCGGTTTAAAAAAGCTAGAGCTACTAATGAAAAAACATCACAGTTATGGTATATTTTGTAGGTGTACAGCAGTACCTGCTGGAACGAGTCTTCAAACAGCGTTTTGCGGCCGACGTTGATCTTTATGTGCTGTGGCATCGCTAATTGCTATGAGGAACAATTAAAAACAAACAAAAAGGTGATTAAAATAGAACTAAACCAGTTAAAATATAAATTTCGCATTATCATAAATATTCTTCAGATGTTAGCGAATTAAAAATGCAGTATTTATCCATCCATAACAACACATTTGGATGAAATATGCCGAACTAAAGGAAACCCTCACCTGACACCAGAATCTGAAGTACTGAACTTTGGCTTTGAAGTCTCGTACGTATGTGATTTGAGGACCGTTCTCACTGTGGAAAGAGTGAAATAGCTCATTATACAAAGAGATTCAAGTCTTAAAACTGCTTTATATGTTGGTCCTAGTTTCAATCTGCATACAAGTATTGATCTGTAGAGTCAACACACTACTAAATCTATAGCAGTAATGCCAAAAAAGACGTGGTCGTGATTCTTTAGTCACAAAAAACATGTTTCTATTCTGTAGTCCTCGCTGGTTTGCACACAAAAATAAACATGCAATGAAGTCATCCATTTGACTCGGATTTCACAAGTTAAACCAATTGAGAAACAAATGACTTGCTGAATCTGTAACTAAATGTATTGTAACTTTAAAATTGTCAATATCTTTATTTATTATAATGTGAAAAGATACACATTCACAGAAGGTGTTTTGCAGTCTCTGTCACCAATTCAATGTCAAAATATGAAAATGACTTCAGTAAAACTGCTTTGCCTGCTAATCCTGCCTGGTTTCTTAACAAACGTCCTCGAACTGCCCCCAGATCAGCTGAAACACTCATTCACATGGAGTAAAAGTCCTAATAACAGTCGTTTCTAGAAGCTCGTGACGGGTAACGCGTTTTTTTTTTTTTTTTGCGATTATCTCTTCATCAAAAGCATGTCTCGCATTCCTATGACATAGAGGATCGCTTTGTACCTTCAAAAACACTTCATGTAAATCAATACACACATTCTCCAGCTCGACAGCGAGAGGTGTGTTTGCACTTTCTGAGCTGACTCATCACGGAAGATTACAATCGAATTCAGTTTCACACACACAAACACACCCGTTTTTCCAGTTACGCATCTGAGGTCTGATGAACACACGGTCCTGCCTGAAACAGATCATTGTGCATCTCCAAGCTAAATCTAATGAACATGCGATATGAACATGCGATATGAAAACAATTTGAACCTCAAGGTCACAAACTAGGCTACATTTAGGACTTATACTAGGGCTCAAATTGTTAATCATGATTAGGGTTGGGTGTCGTTTCAATTTTAACGATTACGATTCTTATAGATTCCAGTAAGGTAAAAAAAAAAACCCAGCAGATATCCACATTTATTTTAAGTCTTACTCGCAAAACATTTAATTGTAGCTGAATATCATGAAAAAAAATCAACAAGCTAAAGAACATTACATGAGGAACTTCTGCCTAACAATACAACTAGCCTATCTAATATACATTTCAAGCATAAAGTAAACACTCAGTTAATAAAAAATGACAAATAAATAAATATTAAAATTGCTTTATACAGCTGTAAAAAGCAGCTAGCGTATCACTTGGCCATACAGCGGTTTAGACGTTCAGGTCAGTCTGTATTTTACACAGTGTGATGCGTGAGGGCTCTTCAGAAACAATCCCAGAATGTGACAGAGCTCGTGTGTTTGGTCACGGGTCACCGTTCTCTCTGCCAGGTCTGATGTGATAAGCCTGGTTCTTACATTACTGCTGTTTTGGACTAGCCTGACGTCGTCATGCTCAGATGCTAGTCAGAATGCGAGTCTGATCTGCTCCATAGGGCTGTGATTATGGGGCGCGTTTTAACCGAACCAGGAAAAAACATGCCTCGTCTGCACTCAATTGGATCGACCGAATCCCGTAGGAAGGACGTCAAAAACATCTTTCCGATCGACAAATGCCATGATCGCGGTTCTGTTCCTCTTTTAAAATGAATGCGCAGTCGATATCTTCTATAACAGACGCGATGGCTGAATCTTCACATAAATTCTCCAGCGGCAGCCATCTTTGTTGTAAACGAATTCAACCCAAGCGCTCTTTGGTGACGTGGATGATTACACTACTGTTGATCATCATAAGCCTAGTTCACACTACATGATTTTAAAACGTCGGGCTGAACTGTGCGGTTCACACTACATGACTTGCTCTCTGTGAAATCAGGAGTGTTCAAGTTGTTGGGCTGTTCACACCACACGACACAACGTGATTGATCCGCAACAGGAGGTATGCACTACACGAGTTGACAACAACTCTGTCACCCAACGATTCAATCTTGTCTACAAACCACGTTTTGTCACAAAAAAATCACGCGATAAAACAAACCGGAAATGACGCGAAACATCACGTGCGCCAATACCCAGCGAAGAAGACGAAGACCCATGCCTTGCTCTGATTGGAGCAACCCATGCCTTGCTTTGATTGGCTGTAGCTCATGACATCACTGAGGTTGAGTCGGGCGACAGCTCTGGATATCTAGCATGCTAGATATTTTTCTGGGCTCGGCGACGCGTCTGCGAGGCGTCTGCGAGCGTCTTTGATGCGTTGTTGGCTCTTTCATACTAACAGATTGGCGAGCGTTCATCGCCCGCTAATCCCCCGCGATTTGCACGCGATAACACCCTGACCTGTCGGCGAGCTCAACGATTTGCAAATCGGGCTTAAATCGGGCTTATAATCCTGTAGTGTGAACTAGGCTATAGTTGCTCCACAACAGATCAAGTCCAGACAGAACTAAGTTCGGCTGGCACCCAGGCTAGTTTTGGACTGATTGTTTGAATGAAATCGCTTACTGGGTCACTGGACTGTAAACTTTCCCAGAGTTTAGCGACTTAAAATGATCTTATCGCAAACAGAGAAAGTAAATCAGGTTAAATAGAAATAAACTCTATAGAAATAGAAAAGTGTGATAAACTCCCAACATCTAAGATCATCTAACTGCGTGACATAAATTACATTAATGACGCAATTTTGCGTGCTTCAGTAATTTGTGTGCATTTTTTGCAATAAATTGTTTTTTCATATTAAACTATGTTATTCCCTTAACTAAGACGAGTTGATACATACCTCTCTCGTCTCAGTGCGTGCACTCAATCGCTCTGGCGCGCGGCGACACTTTGATAGCACTTAGCTCAGCCCAGTTCATTCATTAGGATCCAAACAGAGAAGCGACCAAACACCTCCACGTTTTCCCTATTTAAATACAGATACACGACCAAGTATGGTGACACACTTAGAAAAAGCCGCTTAGAAAAGCGCCACGTTTTATTTTTTTTATTTTGTGTCACCATACTTGGTCGTGTAACTGTATTTAAATAGGGAAAACGTGGAGGTGTTTGGTCGCTTCTCTGTTTGGATCCTAATGAATGACCTGGGCTGAGCTAAGTGCTATCAAAGTGTCGCTGCGCGCCAGAGCGATGTAGTGCACGCACTGAGACGAGAGAGGTATGTATCAACTCGTCTTAGTTAAGCGAATAACATAGTTTAATATAAAAAAACAGTGGAGTGTTCCTTTAATAATTTTGTATTAAAATCGCATGCGTTAACTTTGACAGTCCTAACTTCAACATAATGATTTGATGAGCATCTATGCAGGTCTGTCACTCAGCGAGTGTTTGATGGACATTCGCACTTACAGGGAGGACTTCCCAGTCCGTGGGTCGATGTAAGTGGTGGTTCTCCGGTTGTGATCTACGAAGTAAGGGATGCCATCGACCGTAAACCTCATCTCCCAACCTTCAGGCAGCGCCTTCTCATTCAGCAAACTGCACAACACAGACACACAGCCATTATAACACTTTAACAAGCAACAGTTTATGAAAAGATTCTTCAGACGAGCTGGTCACTTTTATACCATGGTCTGGGTGAATACTCGATTCTGATTGGCTGCAGGGTGTCCATTAAAAAGTGATAGAGGACACCTAGTAAAGGAGTTCTGGTGAAACTGACCATAGATATCCTTAATAAAGGCTAGATGTCTCGTCCGCGCTGCTGGCCAATGGAGGTCGACGTCCGCACCTGGCGGCCATCTTGTCACAGGCAGCTCGCTCACTCGTAACATTGTGTTTTAATGGTGCATGTACTTTTTAAATAACCATAACTTGCTCAATTTTCTACCGATTTTCAAACAGTTTGGTTTGTTATAAACGTCAGAGATGAAGTTATGACACTGCATTACTTATGAATAATAAGTGTATAAATAAATAATCATCCAGAATTATAGCCACGTTAATAACGTTTGTAAGAAACCAAACCGTTTGTAAATCCGTCAAGATTTCAACGAGATGAGAGTATTTGTGTTCGTGCTGATCACTCATCTTACATCAGGCACCACAGAGAACGCCAGAAAGCTTGCCTGTGACAAGATGGCCGCCGGCGGTGATGACGATAGAGATTCCGCCGTAAGACATCTAGCCTTTATTATGGATATCTATGGAACTGACTGTTTACCGTTCGAAATTAATAAATAAATGCGCTGGCTACATCAGCTGTGAGTAACCATAGCAACAGGGAGTCAAAGTATCCGTTTACAATTTATGGTATCAAAACAAACATCTAGTTAGCCGTTATACTATGCCTACCTGTGTGTTTTAATTATAGGTTTAAAAAAAAACGAAAGTGTAACGCCCATGGGTAGACAAGCCTAACTTACATATGAAAATACGTTAACTTTCTGGCTCGTAAGTGAGCTAAACTGAAGGGTTCTCCGAGCTGAGCGCACTATAAATATCTCCGGTTGCTAAATAAACCGTCAGGCGTGACCAAGGAAACCAAGTTATTGTTTGTAAAAACTTTAGATTTTGATTGTAAAACTAATTAAAATCTAAACTAATGTTTTAAAAATGTGTTATTTGGGAAGTGACCATGGTATAAGCGGGTTGATGCCCTTCGAGGAGTCCATTGTCAGGTATTAATGGACTTCGGTTCACGCCTCGCCGTCATCCATTAATACCTGACAATGGACACATCGAAGGGCATTAACCCTCTGGGGACCAGAAACGCGCCCGCGCGTTTTGCCGTTTTTTTTTCACATAGCAGAAAAATAGACTTAAAATACTCTGTTGATTTTGATCGTACATATAAGTGTTATACATCAATCGATCCTGTTAATTGTCTATTATTTTTCTGTATACTCACAATAAAAACAAAGTTTTGTGCTTTTTGTCAAATAAAGAAAAATAAACATGATGCGAGTTTTGCCTTCTCTCTGTCAGTGCAGTCCATTCTGAAACACGTCCGAAAAATTAACTCTAACTCTGCAAATACTTGTCATACAGGCACGAGAGGTTTTTCTTTATGAAGCTTGAATTCTCTTCTTTTTAATGATGTAATTTATATAAAAAACAAATATTCTCAGTTTATGTAATCTGTATGAAAAGAGAGTGCTGTCAGATTTTTTTTCCCCAGCTCATTACACTTCATTACGCGTTAATCTGACACGCCCACGGAGGACGCGCGCTATTCAAACGCAAATGTCGAGGCAAGCCATGACAATGCCCACATCAGCCGTTCCACCGCGGCGGTAAAATGTGGGGTGTATTTGCTGCCTTTTACCGCCAAGAGGCGCTACAATCATAGACTCTGAAAAGTGTTTGTTTATTCTCTCTAATGCGTAATCTGCTGCCGCACCGCACTGATTCAGAGCGTTTGAAAGCTGGTAGCAGATGAATTCAACAAGTGAAACGTAGTTAAAATAATTCATAATCACAATACTGAAATTAGGCTACTGAAATGAAATTGAATAAATAATGAAAAAGTAAAACATTGCAATAAAAACAGTCACAGACGTATAGACGATAGCTCAGTGGTTAACGCAACAACACGAGCTTCGAGGAGCTTCAATCGACTCGGATCGAATCTCAATGTAGCATACATGTTGTTAACCGATGTTGCCCTACAGCGTTTATGTTTAACCTTCTTGATGCTTAAATAGCTAACTGTTTATAACTGTTTACTTATTTAAAGTCAAGAGTTTTGTTTAATTATTATTACAACATAAATTTGCTACATTCCTGGAACCGCAGCCGCTGCACAAAGGACAAAAACTGATGAAGGAAGATTGTCAGCCGATTGCATCAGAAAATGAAAATGAAGAAGCACGTCTTTAGTCTGCTAA